TTTTCTAGTTTCATTCTCGTCCAGCCCCCTTTTAAACAGTTTTTTCGAAGCCTTTTTTTTGCTTTGGAAACACCGACGCAGTTTCTTCACCTCAGTCGCACTAGTTTCGATCTTGTCTTCCATTTTTCATCATAATCTGGATTACGCAAAATTATCGTGAACTGTGCCTTTAATGGAGTAGGGCAGAGGAGGTATAGTGGCAGTGGTGCACTAACACACATGCGTGGGTCCAGAGATGGAGTCTCTAATTTTTATTCCAACTTAGACCAAGCTTTTCATTGATCCAGGTCAGTTAATTGATAGCTTACTCATTTGGAGGGGTGAGGGTTTGGGGTAGGAAGGGACACTGACTTGAACATCGGCTGGCCACCGGAAATCATTTTGTTGGCCAAACTTGCATTCATCAGGTAACTACGATTCTCAGTGGAAGTCCAATGCCGGTGCACGTCCCTCACACGGGATCGCTTACCACCGAAGTTTTTCTTTCGGTGGTGTAGCTTCGAACGAATTGCTTGTTCCGAATTGACTCTTTTTACAAGTAATTTAACAGAGCCCAGAAGAAAAGGAAGAGGGCACCAGGTGACCTGAGTTTTTCAGGTGTAGAAGGAAACCCTGTTCTTATCAGTAGAAGACTTTCTTTTAGTAACAGAACTTCTTTCAACGTCACACTCCCTAGTACTAGTTCTTAGTAGAACAGCAATGAACACTCTCAGAAAAAACTTCAAGTGTTCCTATTAATGTAAAGCAAATTATATCATTGTGCTGATGCTAGAATTTTCTTTTGTAATGCATCTTTGTTGAGTGGTTGTGATAAGAGCGCAATAGGATTCTGCTGGAACTCCTAACCATAGTCTTTAAGATAAGGACATTCGGGGCAAGAATTTTATACTATTCTTGACAACTTTCGATGTAGTCTGTTGTCTGCCTTGGAGGAAATATTCTTTTGTTTTTATTCTACCACAACTTCCAAGTTTTCCAACTTTTCTTATCCTACTGGAATTCCACTGAAGCGCTTCTCATGTGTATGTTTTATATTTTCGAGGGTCCACCTATCAGAGCAAACAAACAAACTAATTTGGGAGGCCTACCTTTGCTGTTTTATATAAACAGGCCTTCTTATTTTCACGATGAAAATTGTTTCTGTGGCTTCTCACTAGGATGGATCTGTAGATCCCGAGAAGGAGCACTTGACGGCAGGAGAAGACTGCAGAAAAAAGCTCGGGGCTCTTTACTTGAATGAGTTTTTTACCCTGCATGATGAAATTTCAGTTCGAGTTTGGCTACAAAAAAATAAAATACCATGGCATATGACACCCTAATGCTCAGCACACGCCAAACAGTATCAAGTGTCACATTGAGGACAAAAGAGGACTTAATTAGCTAAGATGATTCCTTAGAATTGGATGATTCTCGTAGGGTTTACAGCTTGTTTTGGTCGGAAAACGAGAATGGCGGTCATAATATGTTTTAGTTCCGTATTCCGCTGTACCTTTGAAGTAGTCGTTAACGACATGGTGACTTCTACCCGAATCTCGCGCGATTCGGCTGCTCACCGATCTCGTGCCTGTTTTTAGGTCATTCTTCCCTTCTTTTGAGCTGACAAATGCTGTCCTTCTGGCGTGTACACAGAATGAGTAAGTATCAGAATTACTCTTATATCAAATCTTAGAAATAAAGTGGCCAGTCAAGTGGCTTTTTCCCAAAAATAAATGGAATAATTCCGACTATTTCAATTTGAGTGTTGTTGTTATTGCATAAAATTCCTTCAATATTTAGCACATTTCTTCTCTATGGTGCTTTTTGAACTTACCTTTTGAAGTTATTTTTCACGAAATTTCTGTGTACCTGATAGTGTAGCTCTACTTTTGGGATGCAGTGTAATTATGAATTCCTAAATTTTCATGCAGCATTTCGCTCATACCAGTTTGCAGAAAGTGTTGTTCATCTTAATCTTCCCAATATTTACCTTTGAAATGCTCTTCATGTTACTGTAGGCAAAATCCGCATCGTTGCCGATCCATGGATCATTGCCTTTCATTATTCGGACGTCTGCCACTGGCTCATTTCCAGTCTCTCACACATTTTCGATTTCTTCGATTTTTCAACTTACTGATTAGCTTTTTAGCAGAATCTGAATGAACTAAACGAGGTTTTCAGAGAACTAATGGGTGTCTTGTCGAAATTGGACCAGGTACGGTTACTGGCCTCATCACTCAGTTTTAAGCAGTATGGACCAGGTGTATGCGGTCTCGCAGCGTTCTTTGCAGTAATCAAATGGTACAGCAAGGCAGCCAAGTGAGTTAAGGATGAGCTTAGAAGCCTCTAAAGAGATCACCTCTGATTGCGCATTTCAAAAGACTACATGATCACTTTAAGAGGTTCCCAATCGAGGCTCATTCTGACCAAAAGCGGTCAGCCTTCCAAAGACAAAGCCCATGTGGACGGGGCATTCTTCATGAAGCTTTGGCGTATTCTGAAGATTCTCATACCTGGGCCATTCAGCATGGAGGTAAAACCTTCATGACCATAAGCGTAGAGCTATGGAGCAATCAAATGATTTCAGATGTTCTACATGTTATTGGTAGCTGTGTCGCTTCTTTGTAGGACCTACGCTGACTTGTACATGATCATCACAGCTACAGGAATCGAGGCGTGGGTCGCCAAGATTGTTTACTGAAGAGTAGACTCAAAGAAATTTGAATACTTCCAGCTCTATTATCTCCCGTGATCGGCTGCTATTTTTGATAAAGGTCATACAATATGGAATGGCCATGCCAGCAATTTCAGTGACGAATGCGATTCTCAAGGTAAGACAGTGAGACGAACCATTTTTCCTTCGTGAACGGAATGGAAGCTGAGTTCGGCGACTGAGGCTGCTCATTCTGGCCCATACCCCGAATGATCCGATCATATTTGTCTCATGCAGGCTGTCGATGCTGTTTGTTCCACCATTGGGATAGATTAGTGTGTAACGTACTATGAAATTGTATTAAGGATCAAAAGAGTGATTGATTAACTTTTATTGGGTTATGGGATTTCAAGTGGGCCTTCAAATGCCTCTACGATTTTTCATGGGTGTTTGATACATGGCGCGGAAAAGAGTTCAATAGACGTCAACTGAATAGCTGAAACGGGTCGTTTTTGCATGATTCAGTGACCACATCGTACTATAGGGGCCAACCTTTGAAACGCAACCCGTGAATCGTATTCCACAGTACGAGGAAGGAAGAAGGCGAAGGAGTAAAATCAGTGTCTGGAGAACTTGGCGACCCTTGAAACCTTTATTTCTGATAACGGCGTTCCAATCGCCTCCTTCTCCAAAACGACTATTTTAGTTCGTTCAACTCTTAAAGATATTTTTCAAAAATTGATCCATGTTCAGTTTGGTATCAGTGAAATAAAGCTGCGATTCCGGGAACGACTCACCAAGCATCTCTACAGTCAGTACCTAAAGTAAGATCTTGTTTTGCTGTCATTTATCCTCAGACAACAAAATGAACGATTTGAAGGGGTTTCACTTTCTACAAGATGTCGAATCTGGACAATCGAATCCAAAATGCCGATCAACTTCTAACTCAGGATGTCGACAAATTCTGCGAAGGACTGGTGGAGCTCTACTCGAATCTCACAAAGGTCCCCTTGCATTCTCTTTGAAGCCTTGATTTTGTCTGAATTACTTGAGTTCGACTTTGTACAAAACGACCCCTAATTTTCAGCCCATTGTCGATGTATTGCTCTATGTATCCCGAATCGGTGGTGCTCTAGGATGGAGTGCTCCAGTGATTCTTTTCTCATATTTGCTTGGGTCAGGCGTATTCCTAACATATCTGAGAAGACCAGTGAGTTGCCATTTAACGTACTTTGTTAATAAACTCAGTTTAGTCTCTTGTATTGAATAAGCGAGGCCCTTCTAAGCCATCGTGAGCACTAACTATGTCCTACACTCACGATGATTTGGAAGGACTCCCATCATGACTGTCAAACTGCCCTTACCATATTACAGTGAACTACTTTCCTTTTGAGAAAGCAGTTCACTGTAATATGGTAAGGGCATCTGCTTCAGTTGAAGAGTCACAGTGCATCGTACCCATAGACACAAAATCATTCATGAATAGCCCATGAAAGTAGAGCTTTTTTAGTAAATGACCACTGAGTTACAGATCGGCCGACTCACCGTGCAGGAGCAAGCTCTCGAAGGGGAATTCAGATTTGTGAACTCTCGTCTTATTATGAACAGCGAAGAGATTGCTTTCTATCAGGTAATTCATTTTTCGAATTATACTGAAAAGGCTGCTACTACTCATAACTAGTTACTTATATGTTCTACAGTTGGAGAATTGAGAATTGCAATTTCTGAATAGAACACTAGATTTTCCCACTCAACCAACATTTTCTTTTTTACTGGTTCCTGAAGGATCAAGTTGTGCACTAGTTGTAGAGCTAATATTGACAGAAATCCATCCAGAATGTCAATTCCCTATCAAAAAAGGACTTAGTTCGATCGGTTAGTCTTCAGGAGGCAAAATGAGCGAACCGAATTCTATCATAGCCTTCAGAAAGCATGAATGTTCTGCTAAGCTGTAAATATCAAACACTCAACTCACAAAATGCTGGCGGTTACTGTCCAAATCTATTTGTTTATTTATTTACGCCGTTGCCTGTTATTTTTTAGCTCTTTTTCAATAAACAAGCAGTACCTGCTCATACAGCCCTTTCTTCTTATTTTTCTCAATTTTCTTGTGCTAAGGCTTTTATTATACGTCATTCCAATGATGAGAAATGGAGTTGGCGCACCTTTTGTATTCCTGATTTTTTATTCATAAGGCGCCATTTTGATTTTGACTTGAATTTTTTGCTACTATTTTAGATTACAGTTTATCCTAATAGTCCTTCTAGCCAAGACTCCCGAAATTTTGCTTTGAGTTCAGGGTAATGATCGCGAACGAACTACACTATTAGGCTCATTCTCAAACTTGGTCAATCATCTCAGGAAGGTCATTCTGTTCAGGTAATTCCACCACTATTTTCCCCCTAATCTACAAAAGTTGTGACTCAGGCTCTCGTAATGCAGGTTCTCTATTGGATTTGTGGACAACATCGTTGCCAAGTACGCTGCCACAGTAATTGGATGGTATGCAGTTGGACGACCATTTTTCGATCACAAGAACGAGTTCATCAATGGACTTGGCAGGAATCAGCTGATTCAGGTCAGTGCTGTTTTAGTAAATAATCCAACTATGAAGAAATCTCAACGCTATTTGATACAGGAATACTACAATTCTGGCAGAATGATGTTGAAACTCGCTGAAGCTCTCGGTCGTTTAGCATTGGCCGGTAGAGAGCTGACGAGATTGTCCGGATTCACCACAAGGGTAGACACTCTGCTCAAAGTACTGAATGATTTGTCTACCGGTAGGTTAACATTGAGATTTTGATGAAAGTACCAAAATGCTGTGGATGCTTCAGGATCGTATGAACGTACTATGATAACTGATGGCAAAAGCGAACAAGCGAACGGTCTCATAAGCAGTTCTTTTAGTCCAGGAGCAGGTGAGTGATCCGCGATGAGATCGAGTATACCCACCTTAGTCATTATAAGTTGAGACATGGAAGGAGAAAGCCGCTGACGCGAACCAATCGAGTTTTTTTTGGGATACGCCCCACACCTGACTTCCATTCAGAATCGTAGTGGTAATTTGAATGCGCATTTGGCGAGATGNCCAGCTGATGTACAAGTCAGTGCTTTTATCCTCCCATACGAGTCTGCCAGAAATCAAGAAACTCCGGAGGGATGAAAGGCTTGATAGACTTGGGCAAATAACAATCCAGGATTCGATCACTTGGCCTTGCGTGTAAGAAAGTGCGCCACTTGCCACTATACTACCTCAGCCTACCATTTCAGCTTACTCCTCCACTTTCTTCGAGTTGGGTAATTTAAGTAATAATTGCATAGTACTAGTAGTCAAATAGTCAATAATATCCTTCAGTACTCTCAAAATCTTTATTTAATTTATAATTCCAACCATTGCATAATAACAGTAGTATTTTATCACCATTCCTGTGATAATTCCAGTTCGCTAGCTGTGTCGCAAAATAACATCTATCAAGACAAACCTACGCTGACCAACTAATCATTCATGAACCTTTGTAATGGAGGATAAAATACTCAAGAATAAAGTGTTTGCCCTGAATATTTTTGTTACGGGATACACCCGACATTCGACTTCCATTCAAAATCGTAGTAGCGGTTTGAATGCGTATGCTACTTATACAATACGAAAGTCAGTGCTTTACCATCCCAGACGAGTTTGGTACTAATCAGCAGGCCCAGGAGAGAAGGAAAGCTTGGTTGGCCTGGGCAAGAGTCGGTGAGGGACCCGCACCGCTGCTCNTGTGAGCGATAGTGCGCCACTTGCCACTACATCACCTCTGAATCTTCACCAGCACCATAAAATTTGATTTTGCTGAGTAATCAGTCTATTAATATTCAAAATACCTACACAATAATAATTTTTGGTAGTAAGTTTTAAAATAGCTTAATTTCAAAGATCCAGTTCTAGTTAGTAGTTGCGAGAATTTACTTTCAGGCGAGCTTGTCATCTGTGATAATGTGATCCGTTTTGAGGGCGTACCTCTTGTCACGCCGAATGGTGACGTCTTAATCAACAGCCTCGACTTTGAGGTTATTTTCGAACCTCTTTTATATCCGAGAATTCTTTTTATATTATTTTCTCGAGTCAAACCTTGATTCGAACCGAAAAAGTGGTTGTTAATCCGTGCCGGGCTTCAAAAATGCAGGCGAATGTCATGAAATTCCAGGTGCCATCCGGAAGAAACGTTCTTGTTTGTGGTCCAAATGGTTGTGGCAAAAGTTCGTTGTTCCGAATTCTTGGCGAACTATGGCCTCTGTTCGGTGGACGACTTACGAAACCAGAAAAAGGAAAGCTTTTCTACGTTCCTCAGGTCAGTAACGGGATTCTTTGTTGAACTCCTCCGGCAGTATGAAAAATTCCCTAACATCTAGCTTTTTCTCGAGCGCAGCACTTATTCTTTGGATTCAATAATTGATGACTAGATGTTGTGATCACACACTTATTATGTCTTCTAATATAACTCTAACAGAACAAGAATTACATTGTCGCAATACCTTTCATGGGAGAGGGGTAGCGCTGATCTCGCAGTCAGGTTCCGGCTAGTTATTGGTGGCAGAGCGAATCTTGAAGCTTTCTGAAGACGACCATGACAGGCGGATAAGATGTTCACCGAAGCTTTCATATTTCAGCGGCCATATATGACGCTTGGAACTCTTCGTGATCAAGTCATCTATCCGGATCGAGCATACGACATGGTCCGCAAGGGATTTACGGATCACGATTTAGAAGAAATGTTAGAAAAGGTAATGAAATGCAGTATCTAGAACAGCTACTTTAATGAGAGGATGTCGGCCTGCTAAGAATTTCATAAGGAAAGATATATTTCATATTCTTTTCCATCTTCCCTCTTCAACGTTTTTCCCTTTTTTAAATTTATTTACCTTTGGAACATAGATCACTCACAGCCTCAGCAGTTTCATGCTCCTTATCCTTGGCTCCTCACCAGCTCTCCGCCCCTTCTCTATCCTGCCCTTGCCTTATTTACCGATTCTACATATCACCAGGATGTTGGGTATATTTGGTATCTCTTCTCATAAAACCATATTCGTAAGGGACTCTTGCCGAGAAACTTGTTTCGGATCCCTATCCTGGCTCACGATTAGTGTTTTCCCCATTCCAGAGTAGTCTTAAATATATATGGAAATTCTCTACATTTTCAAATTACATTGCTTTGAACTGATCTTATATTAAAGGGTCAGCATTATTGACGTGAGAAAAGTAAAGGAAATGCGAAGAGAGCGCAGCAGTGCCTTATTCAGGTACAACTATCTCACATTTTGGTTCGTGAAGGTGGTTGGGATACCGTACAAGACTGGATGGACGTGTTGTCTGGTGGGGAAAAACAACGGATTGCGGTACGTATTAGTAGTAGTTCTATTAGAACTATGAAGTAACTGAGGGGAAACGTTGTGTTCAACTTTCACTGGTTTCAGATGGCTCGGCTTTTCTACCACAAACCGCAATTCGCTATTCTAGATGAGTGCACCTCAGCTGTCAGTGTGGATGTTGAAGGTAAATCTCGTTTGGTTCACGATACTATTACACTACTAGTTTCACAACAAGTGATGGCCGTTTTCCACAGTTTGAGCAATGCGTGCGACAATTATTTAAAATCTTTGAGCTCTGTAATGCACACTCTGAAAATAGATGAATGGAACAAGTCACTTTGGGGCTCACAGGAGTTTAACGGCTTTGTAGAGGCTGTATGATTCTTGCGCTCCAAAGCTGCACAGTCTATATCGCTACTCACTACCCGCCAGTGCTTCTTGTCCAGGAAAACTGTTGATTAGGCCTGAACTAGCTCACCTCGATCAGAAGGAACCTCACATCGTCACTGGTATTCCGTCTTTTGACCTGGAGAGAAAAAAAGTTACAGCATGAGCGCGGTGCCGATCCTACCCAACCTGGGTCTTGGGAGACATATAAGGAGTAGCTTAAGTCGTTGCAGAAAGGTAAACTTATTTATTTATTGCTGCCATTTTGATCTGATCAGTCTAGGCGGGTAAAGGTCGTGGATTATACTTGCTACTACGCAGCGCCGCTTGACGCTGACCCCTCTTAGCCTGCACCTGCATTACTCATTTAAATTACGTTAATCTACAGCCAAAACAATAATTACATTTTTCAGGAGCGATGTACAGAATTTGTCGAGAAGAAGGAATTACCCTGTTTACGGTATCCCATAGAAAATCGCTATGGGTGCATCACGAGTACTTCCTTCATATGGATGGCCGAGGATCTTATCAATTCGAGAAAATCGACGATAATACTACTATGTTTGGCTCTTGAGTAAAGAGTGGGATGTAGGTCTTGATAGGGCTCATAAGTCCCGCTAGGCGCATCCACGCTTGTCACGAATTTGAACTAGTCCATATGTAGGTCTCTTCATTTACTCTCAACTGGGGAACCTCATCTTTGAGCTTCTTTCCCTTTTATTTTTCACTTTGATCAGCTGAGTTTTTTTAGTTTAAAATTAATTAGTTTTTTTT